GGCGCCCCGCGCCCTCGGTGTCCCCGCGTCGTCCGCGGCCCCGGGGGTGGGAGTAGAACGTCCGGGCAGCACCTCCTCGGAGCCAGGAGAACCCGGAGCCTTAAACCGCCCCTCCCGGGACACACGCCCTCCCCCGCGCGACTCCCGGCCGCCGCCGCCTTCCCTGGGTCCCGGGCCCCTCACTCTTGGGTATTTCCCCGGCCTCCCTCCACTTGGTAAAAAGTGAGTTTGGTGTGTGTCGTTCGCGTGGCTGTCATTAAGGCAGTCTGTCATTGTGCGAGGCTGAATCAGCGGCTCTTTGTGCGCTCAGCTGTATGGTAATGCGGCAGCACCTGCTGCCTGCACAATGCGGGGGAGAGAGCTCCCCTCCGCGCGCCGCGGCCTCCGCGACAATGTCCGGCACATGTTCCCAAGGCCCCTCCGGCCCCGGCCCCCAGCCCCCAGCCTTTACACAACCGTCACCTTATTAGGTTTTTACATGTCCATCAGACACTAGAACTTTTGTTTTCATTTTTAAAGAAAAATGAGTTTATTGGGAGGGCCGAGAACACACGTATCACACAATGCACTACCTAAATTGCTCTCACGCTCGCAGGCACGGTGGCGAAGGAAGGTGGGCACAGGCTTCTCCTCTGGATCCAGCTTCGAGATGGGCATGGACTTGCCCCCTCCCCGTCCCTGTGTGTCTCCCAACAGCCCCCCAACGCCTTTGGCCCCTTGATGAGGATGCAGGCTGAGGGCGTGGGGTGATGCACCCACCGGTGTCCTCGGAGGTGTGCACAGCTGCCTCACTAGTGACAGAGTGCACTGTCAAGGCAGGATGTGACTTCCATCCAGGCAGATGTCTCGGCCACAAAGTATACAAAGCACAGAAGGGGAAGCCTCAGACCCCAAGTAACACCGCTGGCCACAGCGATCTAAAACGTCCCTTGGTGAAGCCAACCCTGGCGGGCCCTCTGGCCACTGAGCACGCAACTGCGATTCTGTTACCCCCCCCCCACCCCGCCCACACACACACACTCAGGTGAGCCAACCTGGACACTGTAGCGTTCCTATTGCTGCCTTGTGGAAAAGCAAAGAGTTAACCAAAAGTAGCTGACATGCAACACTGAAGGCCAAGGTGGGAAAGGCAGGCGTGGACCCCACCACGAGCCCCCTACTGTTTGATCCAGAACAAATGGAGACTTCAAAAGATGCTGCCACCCCCATGGCGGTGGCAAGCCCAGCACTGTCCTCTTCGGACTCCGTAGGGACTCGCGGCATCGCCACAGGGAGGGGCCAGCTCAAATCCTAATTTAATCTTGCCACCTAGTGTCAGGATCCTTTCTTCTCTAGTTGTGTTTCCTGCAAAAGCAAGTTTCTGAGAACTCCTGCTCCCTATGGCACTGCAGGAACGGCTGTCTGTGCATGGGGGGGGGGTGCCAGGAGCAGGGGAGATGCAAGACGAGAAAGGAATGTGGGGTCAGAATCCAGAATCCTCTGTGCCTGTGAGACTGAGCATAGATTTCAGTCAGAAATGAAATATCAGGAACCTTTTAATTAGAAAATGGAAGTGAGAAGCAGGCTCATTTGAATGCCTGTTTAGAAAACTGGAAATAAAAAGTTCCACGCGCAAGGGCTTAAACCTTGGGGGGAAAAGGACTTGCCCCAAATCTTTAACAAACCCCCCTCAGTATCAAGTATTTGTTAAATTGACACGGCACAGATTTCTCGATTACAGCGGCAAAGCGGAACTGAAAGGCATCGTAAAATCCATCAGAATCCTGCCCAAAGCGTTCATTCTTTTCCAACTTAATTTATGCCACGCGATTCTGTATTGGGGAAATCAAGCAGAAAGCCCTTTTCTTCTTCTCCCTCTCCTTCCTCCTCCCCCGTTCTTCTTCTCCTTTTTCTTTTTCCTCCTCTTCCTTCTCCTCCTCCTTCTCCTTCTCCCCCATTTCTCTCCCCACCCCCAAGTTGGTTCGTCTCTCCCTCTCTCTTTCAAAAGCTGAGCTAACGGGGAGACTGTTTAACTTCAGCGTTTCTATAGGAGCCTGTTGTAGTTTAACTCCTGCACACCAGTAGCTGGGATGAACAAAGGAGAGACTCGAGGTCCAACTATTCATCCTTTCTTTGCACTTTAATTTTCATTGATTGGGAAGACAAGGGGAGCCCTTGGGGATTCGAGCTGAAGGGGACGACACGCCTTTAGACGCCATCAGCCCCCTAGCCAGCCATCTGCTCCGAACCAAATGGCGTTTTTTCACTCCCTAACTGCATGTCTCTATACTCCCACAACTAAACACTCTGAGCCCCCCAAATGCAGGAGGGAGCTTAAGTCAGAGTGTGTTAAATAGACTGGCCTCCGTGTTGGCCTGGCTGCCAGATTCCCTCCCCCACACTATAAATCCTCACCTTGCTCATTAGGAAAAAACAGGAAACTTTCTTTTAAATACTTTTTGATGTCTCAGCAAATTTACTGTACAAAGTGAGGCTCATTAGGGCTTAGAAGGCTCCCAATACATCAGACACAGAAGTGGAAGGAGGAATTTGCTGCCTGGTGGTGGTGTTTTATTTTTTTCCAGGCAGCACAACCCATAGACTGAATAACTCCAGGGTCTGGGGTAGGCTCAGGTTGTCTAATAGTCAGAACCACAGCCACCATGGCCACATCTGGAGCTTTCTGTCTGCTGGAGAACCCGAATGCTTCCCTGCCATTTTATTAGACCACTTGGGAGTAGAGTTTATGCCATCATCTTATCAAATTAAATGTGCCCATCCTCCGCAGTGTGTGTGTCCTAACACCAGTCACCCAATCCTGTTTCACCCCTCCCCCCACCCAAAGAAGGGCTCTGTTCTCCAGGTACGTGTGTGTGTGGGGTGGGATGGTGGGGGCTGCAGGGCCTGGGCAGATTGCAATAAACAATGCCCAGAATAGGCTCAGACTCCAGGCCAGCCCCAGGTTCAGTTTTCTGTGTAAACAAGTCTGGAGACTTGAGTGGGGTTTGTGTTTTCTCGGGCCAACTGAATACTGTATACCCAACAGAGAGGTTCTCTTATTCCTAAGAAGAATTAGGGTCCTTGTTCAGAACAACAAAATAAAAAACTTCCAGGCAGCAAATCTGGTGTTGATCAAACATGCCAGCTTACTTGAAAAAAAAGAAGAAGGGGATGTAGAGCATGTTTATTAATTAGTATTAGTATCACATCTGCACCAACCACCCTTCTGCCCATTCTCCATCCGTCACAGTTTTGGAATCTTAAAGCAGTTAAAGCAGCATAGGAATTGGCCAACTGGCTGTGGGTACAGGAGGCTCTGACAGACATCTGTGGGCAAAGCCTGCCTGCAGGTGTGGCTGCCTGAGTGGCCTTACTTCTCCCCCTGTCGCAGACACCTGAACAAGAACTTGCCCCTCACCACCCCACACACGTTTGGCCATCTCCCTTGACAAGCTCATGTGCTGCAGGCTGTGGAAACCGGCTGGGTCATGTCTGGACCCTGTGTGCCCACCTAGGCCACTTTGGTCCACAGCCCGGAGAAAGGAGGGGGCGCCTAGTTTGTGTTTAGCCCTGGAGGCGT